CTGACTGACTGACTGACTGACTGACTGACTGATTGACTGCCTGCCTGCCTGACTGACTGACTAACTGACTGACTGACTGACTGAGTGACTGACTGACTGACTGACTGACTGACTGACTGACTGATTGACTGCCTGCCTGCCTGACTGACTGACTGACTGACTGACTGACTGATTGACTGCCTGCCTGCCTGACTGACTGACTAACTGACTGACTGACTGACTGAGTGACTGACTGACTGACTGACTGACTGACTGACTGACTGACTGACTAACCGACCGACCGACCGACCGAGAGATAGACTACCTGTCGAACTGACTATTTTTCTGTCTGTTTGATTGTCTGACCATCTATCATACCGATTGATATTCTGTCTGATTGATTGACTAACCGATTTACTGACTGACTGACTGACGGACGAACGGACTGGTTGACTGACTACACTAGTCTTTGGCAAATAAATTAACAATATACGGCATTTTTGCCACATTTTATACCCTATGGTTATTGAGCGTTGCAAGTCAAATATACCTAGTGCAACTGATAAAAAAACGACTAACCAAAATTTATTAGGATTTGAAAATATTTGGTATCTTTCAGCTTCTTAAGCACGCTTTCGCAGGATGCATATTCCAATTAATTTATAGAATTTATAATTTATAGAAATCCTCTATAAACGTGGAACGTCAATGTGTTCAAACATGCAGACAGCATTGCTTTTTTCCTTCAGTCTCTATAACACGCAGATGAAGATGAAATCTGGAGCAGAATTAGCGCTATGAGGAAAGAAACACTTGGCCAATCAAGTTTAGTGTTAAGGTCAGACTTTCCACCAAACATGCGCAAAGTGAGGTTTGATTTACCAGACTCAACTTTTCGTGAGGAAGCTGGGTCAGATGAGGAAAATGCCAGAGCAGAAAGCGGGCCAGAAACATCTGGTTGGGTACCAAACAACCTCCACTCAACCGAACAGCTACTGCGGAATAGAGTTGGCGATCATGGTTTTCTTAGCGAAAGGCGAACACGTTTCCGACCGGCAAAAAGGCGTAACATGTCGGCTAATTATACAGCTGTTCTGGAAAACGAGAAGATATTGAAAAGTGTTGGTAGGGCGCCGGTGCGCCATGGAAATACCGCTGCAACGACAACAACTATGGCTTCATGCGATGGTGAAGATAACAAACAGAAGAAGTCTAACAATGAAACATACCTCCGTTGTGGAGAGTGCCAGAGGATTTTAAAAGAAAGAGATAAGTTTTGGGGTTTGGAGTCTGATTCAGAAGAGGAGGAAATTAAAGATTTTAATGAGCACGTACGACGTCGCAGTCTGCAACGAGATTCAAGATCTTTTCAAACCCTAAAAGAAAAAACAGCAGACAATGGTAGGTCTTGCAAAGGCAAACGAATCGCTGGGCGTGGTACCTGGGTTACTCCAGCTTATGTACCTCCATGGGAAATGAGAAGAGCTTCCAGCAACAGGGACTCTATAATGAGAGAAGAAGGATGGTTTGGACAAAAGAAAGGTATTTAGATTATCATAGCTCTTTAACTGTTTTCTTTGGGTCAATAGATCAAGCAGAAAACTGAAGTCGAACTCAGAACGAATTTTCTCAACGCTTTTGGTCATCAGGATTTCGTTGATTTCAGTTTTTCTTTCTTTTTGTCATCTCATTTATTGGGCGAGATTTAATCCATATTTCTTGCCTCGGTCATCTAATCTGGTACCTTGACCCCTTAACCCCACCCCCCTCCCCCACCCATTTCGTTCAACTTCCCTTTGGATCATACAGTCTTTAGTAAGAAAGTATCGAATACAAACTAAAAGAAGCTGTGGACTGATACCAACCCTGGTAACAGCGGGAAAAAGACTCTCTACATCTTACACTTTGAAAAGAGTAGTCCGCTTACCAATCGTTCAAAAACCTTTGCTCGGCGTCAAGAACGAGAGCGAACGTTAGAGAAAGGGAGGGGAGGGGAGGGGGAGGAGGAGAAGTTCAATGAAGTCCCCGTATACTTTCTATTTGTATTTCTTCCGCTTCGTTACTGCTCTTACGCGCTCACTTCACACCAACTTCTGTAAGCATATTATAAAATATCAATATTACAATATAAAACTTGCAATATATGATATATTTTTATTTATCTTCCTTGCAGGAATTGTAAAAAAGTTCTTTACTCGCCTGAAAGGTCACCATCATTGATCTTTTAAGTCTGTGCTTAGTTTCGCACCTTCGTCCAAACTTTGTTTAACTTTCCTTGGTATACAGTTATCTTCGTTGTTCAGAAAGCACTGTTACTTTAAAGCACTTTGTATGATAATTTATCCTAATTGAAATGTCACATGTTGTGTCCTTGATGGAAAGTGTTTGTGTTCTTATTTTTAAAGTGATGTCACACGACTCCTTCCTAGAATGTTACGTACGTTCTGCAAACTATTCCGGCGCTCTTCACTCTTTGTCTTTCCTTTTCTTCTTTTTCACCCAGTCTCAACGCAGTAGGTTACACGCGTGCGCTCACTAAAAGATATCGCGCAACAGCTCACGCGCTAGTAAGTATCCGTGTACGATCACCAACAGGTATCACGCAATAGCTCACGCGCCAGTAAGTGTACATGTGCGCTCAGCACCAAATTACGCAACAGCTCACGCGCTAATAAGTGCGCACGTGCAATTAGTAACACATATCAGTGCAATAGTTCACACACCGGTTAAGGGTGCGCGTGCGATCCAGGAACAGATATCACGATATCAGATATCAAAATATCAGATATTAGTATAATTTCAGAGCTGAGCAAAGAGTTTCCAGCAATCTGATTGATCGAGCGGTTTCTTATATGACGCTATATAAACCGCTCTACGCGGTTTATATAAAATGTTAAAATAAAATGTTTATAAATGTTACTAAAACGTTATGATTTTAGAAATTTCTCTGTTGTTCAGCTCTGAAATTAAACTAAAACTATTATTCGCCTCAGGTTCGGTGAATATTGTCGAATAATCCCCTCGACTTCGTCTCGGGGATTATTCGACGATATTCACCTCGCCTTCGGCGAATAGTTGTTAATTAGATATCGAAAGAGTTACGGCACAAAAGCTAGCGCCTATCGCAATAATCAACGAGAAACCCGTGTTGCACTCTGAATGACTCATTTCCCAGATTGGAAAGGAATAAAAGATTGTATACGCCGCTGATCGGGAAATGTTTCTATCCCAGATCGATTATGAACACGGTAATTATTAAAGCTTAAAAAATCGAAACGGTTTTCGCTATGGTTTGCATCGTCAGTTGAAATGCGCAAAGCAACCCCTACGGCTGACATCTTTGTGGAATATACCGTTGAAAAGGGCAATGTTTAAAAGTTTATAATCGACATGTTATTACTTTAATTCATGAGGTGGCTCCTAAAGAGCCGTTTGTTTTGGGGCCAGCTGTTCGTGAAGAGCTTTTCCACCAGTTGATTTGTAGGTGTCCCGCCAAAACATACGGCTCCTTTAGGAGCCACCAAATGTTACAAAAAGGTCACTGATCAACTTGAAAGTTTTAGCGGTTTCCACGAATAGTTTTCCCATCAAACATTCAGTCTGATCGCAGACTGTCATCTACCATTTCCTCGGTTTAAGTTGTCGCACGCTAACGGCCGCTGTGGAGGCAACTAACAGTTCCATATGTTATGAGTATTACCTCTATCCCTTAGATATCTGAAGCGCGGGTCAGTAGAAATCAGCTTAATAAAGAACATCTAGCGGCGCTCGAGCTCTGAAAAGCGACATGCGCAAAAAGAGGTTCAGTCAGGCGGTTGTGTCACGCGATTGACTAACGACTGTTGTGTCACGTTGTTTGACTAACGACTGTTCCCCCTTCCCAGGGTAGTCGCGCAAAAATTTAAGTCACGGGACTGCGCTGGGAGAGGAAAAGTGACTTGAAATTTTTCCCGCGGCTATATAAATTTCGCGGCGGGGTCAGACGCACGCGAGCACCTCTTTGACTCTAGCCGAGCTGATGCTGTGCATGCCTCATCATATCTAATTTCACAGTAAGTTAATATCTGGTCTAAGGCGTAAGGAACAATTACAATATTGCCTTTGCCTGCGTGGAAAACAGCTAGTGGTGTCGTCTAAAACCGGTGTTGGGCCGCAATGTTCGCGACGTCCGCCGAAGAGATTTGGGCCGGGCTGTTCAGAGGTGGGTTAAAATAACCAAGGATTAGTGTGAAATTTGATTTCAGATCTGAAAGCTTTAAAAAAAAACTTCAGTTTAATTTCATTTGTCTACAATTTGACAATAGAATGCTCTAATAAAATGGGAAAAATCATCCCGAAACCACTTTTGAACAGAGAAATATAGAAACCTGGATTAAAATTTAAACCTGGGTCAGCACTAATCAGCCTTCGAACAACTGGGCCTAAGGCCCAGTTGTTTTCGAAGGCTGGACACTACACACTAACTAGGGTGGTCTAAATTTCCCACCAGTCTTTTCGAGCATAGTTTAGCTTTGTAAAGGTGCACGTGTGTGCGGAAAACATGGCTACGTTACAGTTTGATTACAGAGTTAGCTTTGTTCATTTGTGGCTCTGCCCATCATGAAAGACATCAGAAGGAGTTACAGTGTCACATCCGTTCGTGGGCCATTGGTTGACGTGTTTTTCTCGTCTTCACGAAGCTATTCAGCTAGAATAACGAATCGAAAATCGGAGGTACGCTAGTTGTTGATATAATTATCGGCAAGATTTCCACATAACCCCATACATTCGCTCCGACGAAGGGCTAACGCTCGAAACGTCAGCTTTTGTAATCGTTACGGAGGTCACTTTACCATTTCAACTTTGTTGATATATCCAAATTATGTTGCAAAGAAACCTTTATATTCAGTCTTTATGTAACAAAAATAATGCATAAGGTTAATGTATGAGGTTATATGGAAATCTTTCCTAATTATCTCTTGCTATGAACTGGTATATCTGTTAAACGCTTACCAGAGGCAGAATACCTTTTCCACTTGATCAGCATCTGCATGTGTTTGTGTGCTTTGAAGGTCATAGAACATAGCAACAGTCACTTGTTTAAATTATCGATTGTGTGTCGATACACTTCTAAGTGTTATATTAGGGTATTCTGTTGTTCATCCAACGACTTAACAGCCAGGTTTAATTTTACAGTGGTAAGACTACATTTTGGAACCTAGAATAACGATAAGTTTTTCCTACGTTATTTCGTCCGCAGTTCCTATGATAAATGATAATCATTTTGGCATTCCTATCGATACGGGTGATGAGCAGCGCACACACAGTACATACCATGCAGTTTAAAGATAAGGGGGCCAAAATATGCATGTTAAACTTGTAAAGAATGAGTTTAAGACTAGACACAGACTACTCTTGCCAGACGAGCATACATGTTTACTGTTAGACAAGTCTGCTAATCAGTATCTATCACCTAGCTAGCAGATTGTTTTCTCTGTTGTGGAATGGTACATGTAATTGTTTATGTCAATGGGCATTGTATTCACCGTAAAAACTGCTGGTTGAGCTGCACTGAATATCCATCAATCACCTTGTGTTTCTTACGGCTGTGTTTATTTATTCACTGTCATGGTCCTGTTAACTTTGCACAGTTTTTGCTCTCTCTCTAATTTTCATCAAGATTTACTTGCCGAGAAATAACACAATATTG